CATTTTTTGTATATAAAGACTCAAGCTCGCCAGCACGAGTGCGAAAAGAATAATTGATAGCATAAATAAAATTACTTGACTCCATGAAGAAAAAATAATTTCACAAATCAGCTTCAAGAAGTTAAGTGGAAAATAGCATATAAAAATGGTCAGTAGGAAGTATGTATATATAGGTTTCCGACTTTCAAAATGTGAAAGGAGGCTTAAGTAATTTATAAAAACAAACATGAATATGTAGAGTAAAAAAAAAATAATGTTTAAATAATATTTTAAGCAAATACAAGCAATAGCAAATAGGGTGAAACCTGTCTTTTGGATATGGTCCTAGACAAGGGCTAATTTCATCATAACTAGACAGAATTCTTTCATAATCGTCATCAGAAAGCGCAACAGAGATAAAGTCTACAAAAAAAGAATACGAATAAAAAAACCTTCTTCCAAAGGGTTCCATCTATAAACTGCGAAGCCTGGTTTGTCAAAAACATGAAAAAAGCCAACTCTCAGGCCAGACATCATTGATTTATCAACAGAACTAAAGTAAACAAAGTGTATTCCAAGTGGAATATCTTTAAGCCCCATAAATTTAGGGCCGACATTCCAAGATTTAAGATCGATTCCAACTTCTGTATTGACAGGAACATCCCTAAGGATGAGTACACCAAGACTAGGGGGTGGAGAAACAACCATTTGATAAAAAGGGCAAAATCATTTATAACTTAAAACAAAACTTAATAAAAACATGTTTTTGAATTAATAGTATATAGAAAAATAAAGTTTAATTTTATTTAAAAGGTAACATAGATGCGATTGTTAGGTGCATACGATTACTTAAGTTAGGCAGCTCACTAAGTCAAAAAAATATTTTGCTAGCTACTAAGAATGTACAAAACTTTTTAGATGAAATATTTAAGTGGTATAACGAAGTAACCATATTTGCTGGTGTTTACTTATCTTAGGTGTCGCATGCTATATTTCTTACTTGAATACAAGGTTCGTTGACAGTAAAATTATTTACTTATCAAAACCATACTC